GCTGATGATTTTCAAGAATATTTTGTACACATTTTTAAGTAATCCAAGGCATTTGGATTGTATCGATATAAGCCACACTTGCGAAAACCATTGCTGATAATTACAGGCTAATTTCCTTTTTCTAAAACTTTTTTGGGCAATGGACAAAAAGTTAATTTCCTCAAAATATTATTAAAATTTTCAGGACAAGTTGCCCATTCGTGTACTGTATCTTTCCATTGTGATTTTAAAGGTTTGAATACACTTACATTTGTAGGCTGAATCAAATGTGTCGCATTTGGTGGAAGTGCGTTATAATACCGTTTTCGTAACAATATTCACTGAGCCGCACTGTTAAGTGGCTTTTATGTCCATCAACAAACACGATAACTGGCTTTTTGACGTTTTCTTCTTTCACCCATGTGTTCAAACATTTAACAATATAATCATAAAATATATCTGATTTCATCCACCCGGTTTCTGATTTTCCTATAGTTTATTTTTATGAACGAGAGAGTAATTAGCATAATTTTAACTGGTACCCTCCGACAACTCCATGGGCGTGCTCAAGATTAATTGAAAAATTACTTTGAATAATTGTAAAAAATAAATGAATTATTTCAGTGTTATAAAGTGTTATGTGTATGTAAACAAAAGTGACCTCTTTTATCACACACTATATTAGAACTGACTGGCCTACATTAAAAAGGGTTTTAAAAAATTCACATTTTTTTTAATTTTTAAAAATTACAAAAGAGAAAAAGAGTTTTTAAAAACCGTCTAAGGTATGTTAAATAGATGAATAAAAATATTAATATAAAACTTACAGCTACTTGTTACAAATCCAAATCAGATTCAGAAGATGAACTTTCAGAACCAAGATTTATAATAACTGGCTCGATCATTTTATCAGTAATATTGTCCAGCTTCCACAATTTTTCCTCTTCTTTAATAGTGTGATTTACTGCCTTTTCCCAGTTTTCAGGTTTTACATTATTTACGGCCTCCAAAAACAACTGTTTAACATCGTGAATTTAAAAGTGGTATTTTTTCTTGAAACTTCACTCTTTATCTGTGCCCATACCAGTTCAATCGGGTTTAATTCACAATGATATGGTGGGGATCTAAGTACTGTCATTCCACGATTTTTGGCAATTTCATCAATTTCGTATTTTTTAAATTTTTCTTTATGAAGGGCACACAACGAATAAAGTTCCTTTCTTATAGATCCGGGATGGTACGTAATATTTTTTGAACTCAGCCAATTCTGCAAGTCTTTTTTTAACCACTTGGTTGTGGGCAGTCCTTCTATAAGTCTGGAGTGATAACTTGCATTATCCATTACTATGACACAGTTCTTAGGAAGAAGATCTATCATTTGTTCGAACCATTCTTGAAAGACATCAGCGTTTATGTCTTCATGGTAGTCACCGGTACGAGTTGATTCAAAAGTTAATAAACCACCTTCAACAAAACCGTCTGAACTGCCAATGTGTAATATTATCAGCCTGCGTCCCTTTCCTGATGGTGGGTTTAAACCAGTAGATAAGTTATTTACAAAAGCGTGCCTTTGACTTGTAACAGTTTCATCCTGCCAAAATTTATTTGGTGTATGACCCTCGTTGATCCATGTTTCATCAAGATAAAATATTTTTCTTTTTTGGTGTCTCATTTCCTTTATGGTTCTTAGAAAATGTCCTTGCAACTGAAGTACCTACTTTTAGTGAACTGTTAAGAATTTTGAATACGCCACTTGGACCTTCCTACAAAATGGAAAAACCCAATATCACATTTTCTGTGGAATAAGTTTACAAGGTAATTATCTAGTCAATTACTGTCGTAGATTCCTGGAATTAAAGAATTAAATGTTTAATTGTTGAAACCCTTACTTCGTGGAATGCACTCATTTCAGATAAAATAAAACATTTTATTTTATCTAAAGAATTAAACTTTATTTTGCAAATAGGTAGGTACTTATTAAACTTTTATTGGTTATATATAACCAATAAAATAAACATTTTACATTTCTTGCAAATTCATTAGTACCTGTTAACCTCCATCACTCCGACACTGGCAACCTTATTTAGGGATTAGTAACCCTCACAACTATTGTATTCTATTCTGCTCCAACCTTTATACCTGGTGGTCATACTCAATTTAAAATTGTTTTCCTATATATTTCTGTAAACTTGTTGACAAATATCTGTTTTTCATTGAGTCACCCGTATCAACAGTTTAGGGATTTGCATACATAATTTATTGTTTTATTACTCTCTCATACATAAAAATGCACTATAGGTACATCATACGTTGAAGAAAATAAAAATAGTAACAGGTGTTTTTCTCTCTGCATTGATCATCATCAGAAAATATTCAGCATAGTAGTTGAATCTGCTGTAGCAGGATATACAAAAGGTAAAAACTTACAGTGATTTACGCTTTCATCCAAAATGAAAAGTGAACCATTATGCTCTAAGTTAATCTTTATTTGTGATTTCGTTTTTTACCTGCTGCCAGCATTTTTTCCTTGATCCCTGCTTGGACACCCGTATGAATGCCTGACATAGTGGATTTAATTGTCATAGCCTTGACTCCTACACAATTGTATATCCAATCCATCATTTTCCAGTACATTTATAATATCATTGATTATTCAATATTTGAATAAGTTTTGTTATGTGACTGTAACGTATATTACAATGCGTACTATTTTTTTTATAAAAGAAAACATAAACATTAAAACTGTTTTATGTTATGTATCTTATGGATTCTAGTTTTATATGTTTAAATTTTTATGCCAATTTGTAGGCCCCACATATTCAGAGGCCCGGGGCGGAAGCCTTTTTTTTTGGGAGGTGGAATCTTCTAAAAGACCGCCTAAGATCGGGTGTCAGCCCTTGACCGAGGTGTGTCGGATTCAATCTCCCACGCTTCACCACGTGACGAGACCGCCTACCGACTAAACCACCCCCTCTTTCTCCGACCGACGCGCCCGGAACCGCTCTTAGCAAGCATATCTGACCCGTCAGCCTTACTCTTTACTTCCCTCCGGCACTTTTCGCGTGCATTACATGGATTTGACGGCCTCCCGACTTTCCCCATTCCCTCTGCCACATCTCCAAGCTTCTGGCTCTTTCTTGTGGCTCTGAACCAACCGCCCCGCTACCCCTCTGATACATTCGAGCTCACTCCCTGGCCAGGATGTGCACGGGTACAGAACCAACCATCACGTGTAAGGCAATGGTAGATACAGTTCTGTAGGCGCTGCTTACCCTGATCAGAGGTTTCCTTTGAGCCCTAAAGAGCATGCCCTTACATTTTTTCATCTGGAGGACCTCGTGCCATACGGGGGCTCCGTATAAGATGATCGATAATATTGATTGTAGCATATCTGATCTCTTCTGAGATCCGGGCCCCCTATGTTTGGCATTAATTTGTTCAATGCTGAGGTTCTCCCCTCCGCCTTTCGACATGCTCCTTGTATGTGCTGCCCAAAGGTAAGTCGGTCGTCGAAAGTAATACCGAGATACTTGACTGTCCTTTGGGGTCTTATTTCGGAGCCTTTATATTTGAAAACTAAGTCATCCCTTTTCCTTGGTCCTCTCAGAATTATTATCTCTGTCTTGTCTACTGCTAATTTTAAGTCGTTCTTCTCGTTCCACGCCGCAGTCGTGTTTATTGCTTTATTTACCTTTTCTGTTATGCCCCAATTCATATCATCCTCAACCAATAGGGATAGATCGTCTGCGTATGCTATCGCTTTGACTCCTTGTCTCTGCTTGTGAATTTCTAGTACCCCATTGTATAACATGTTCCAGAGTAAGTGTCCCAGGACTAATCCCTGGGGGTACTCCCGCGGTCACTTGTTTCTTTTTCTTCTTTTATATGCATACGAATCGTTCAGAAAGGTAATCCTTTATTATATTGGACATATATTCTGGAGTCGCGCTTTCGACTACTCGGTCTACTATGAGGCCCCAGTTGCTGAATTTAAATCATTTTTTATGTCCAACAGAACAAGAACTACCCATCTTTTCTTGCTTGATTTGGCCGCGTTCTTTACCAAGGTCGCGGCGTCGATTGTCGATCTGCCTTTCCTAAATCCGTACTGTTGGTTGGATAAGACTCTCTCATCTTCCAACATACCTTCCAGCCTCTTCTTGATAAGTCTTTCGTAGTACTTACCAAGGCAGTCGAGAAGGCATATTGGCTGATAAGAGGTCGGTGAGTCAGGGGGTTTCCTGGGATTTAAGAGTAGAACCAAGTTCGCCTCCTATAAGTCCTTGGGAAACTCTTGTTTCTGCAGTAGATCATTAAATATTCTTCTGATCAAACCTGGTTTCTCAGTTGCTATTATCTTTATTGCCTCTGGTGGCAGCCCGTCAGGGCCGGGAGCTTTTCCTGTCTTCGTATCCTGACCAGCGGTTTTCACCTCCGCTTCTGTGAACTCCTCTATCATGGTTGGGAAAACCTTGGTGAAATCTAGCATGTCCTTGGTAGGAAAGAGGAATTCAGCTGATCTCAGTCGCTGGTCTTCGTCGAGTCTATAGGGGCGGAAACCTAGTTACGCCAATTCCGAGGAACCAAGCGGGGTGTTCTCCAGAGATAACAATTGGATTATATAATTTTTTTTGCCCGCAACTCTAAAATCGTTAGGTAGGAACTTAAGAGATTTACAGAGAAAACAATTTAAAAGAAGGATGAGGTTTAACCAAGGCAAATTGGGCTGTGTAAATAAACACTTAGATTTTTTTATTCTCGTTCGAAAATTTTGAGATGCGATTCGAATGATGGTAAAAAACTGTCTTTCGAATATTAGTAAATTGTAAATTAAAATACAGGACGGGAAAATACAAATACTATAACAATTTTTAAATCATTATCATTTTATATGTATTTATTGTTTTCAACCTGAAATATAGTATAGTTAAAAGAAAAACAAGTTTGCCGGTACTGTAATTTTTAGTTATTCTAATTTTTTTCCCAATTAATGTAATTAATCAATATTTTTTTCATTTCAGAAAAATATCCTCAGATCAAGAAACTTTTTGGATACGATCCGAATTTTAAATGGGTCGTAACAAGCATGGTACTTACACAATTTGTATTATTGTACTTACTCAAAGATAGGTCGTGGCCAGTGCTAATTTTAGTAGCGTATTGCTTAGGAGGTGTGATCAATCATTCTTTAATGTTGGGTAAGTCCATCTATTATGTCATCGACATCGACAAAAAAATCATAATTGGTCTTTCTTCTTTTGGCTGGTTAGTCATTCACTACCAGTGAAAATATAACCTTAACGATATATTACTTATCTTATTTTACAATTTTTTGATTTCATTAAAACACAAATTTAAAGAAAATAAGATCATCTAAAACATGTACTTCAACTACATAGCTAATGTGTGATTTGACACATTGTACCTAGCAATGAAGCTTTCACCTTCATTGCTAGTTACAATATGTCCAATATAATAATCTAAAGTTTTTTAAAGTGTCGTGTGATAATCTTATTTTTATTTATTCTTTACGTCAATGTTTGTTTAAAAAAAAAAAAATTAAAAAAAAAAGAAATTGTAACTCAACTAAATAAACATGTGCTATGTTTTCGATGGTTTTTTGCGTACCATTTCAATCTAATGGCCGCAAAGTGACTGAAAGTGCTTTTTGTGTAATAAGAATCCTTTGATATCCTTTTTTGTTACAGCTATACATGAAATTGCACACAATTTGGCGTTTGGGCACGCACGACCGTTGCACAACAAATTATTTGGATTTTTTGCCAATTTGCCAATAGGATTACCGATTACTATAAGCTTTAAAAAATACCACTTGGAGCACCACAGAGTAAGTTTTGTATAAATTAGTATTATACATTATACATATATTTTTTATTTGAGTCTATCTGAAAACAAACGTAAGATATTGGTTTGAAAATCCTAGACAAAATCCTAGGTTACATTTTAAAGTCTTGTTTAATTTATGATATTTTTAACTGATAGTAATACCTAGAAATAGTTTTTATCTTTTTACAGGTGTTAGTTTTTCGTTATTTAACGAATGGGTATTAACATAAAGATAAGTGTTATGCGATAAGTGAGAAATTATAATGTATTCCACAAAGGTTTTTCAAGTAACCGAAAGTACCAGCTGAACAAAAATCTTACCGGAAAACTACCATAAACTACGTCGTAAAAATTTTGGACTTTTTACTACCCTCCCTCTTCTTTCTCGTAAAGCGTCAGCATCCTGTCGAGCTATTAAGGACGCTGTATACTATCATCTGGAAGCTCATCATTTTTTGTTTTGGCTTTGGAATTTTTTCATACGTAGTTTAATATAGTGCAGCTGGTTTTGATAAAAAATATACTAAATTTATATTAATAATTAATAAATTAATATTTTGTAATATATCCATCAGCATTGATAACAGATTGTAGTCTTCGGTCCATCTACGTGAAAGCAGATTTATAATAACCCCCCCCCCCACACATTCTCAATTGGGTTTAAATCTGGATCATATTTATAGAGGTTATAAAGACAAAAATTTTTTAAAAATAATGTGGTAAACTAATGATGCCACAAAATTCATTTGATTTGAACGTACTCAAAAGTTTGGGGAGATTTATTGCTGCCCACCCCCTTAAAATATTTCTGTTCGCTTAGATTTTGTTGTTTCTTTTTTATGAAAAATACTTTCAGAACAAGAAAGTAACGTGTTCATTTTTATTTCAAAATGTCAAGTAGTTTAGAAAATAATGCAAAAAAACAATTTTTATTTTGTAACTTCAAATGGCTGTAATACTAATGTTACAAAGTGTAATACTTCCTGGGTTCAACGTTTCCGACCGCGCCACAATATTGTCCATGGAAAAATTTCAGGTGAGTCAGCAGTTGTTGACGGATCAATTACAAATGACTAGGTTGACAATGTGTGGCCTACACTCAGGTCCGGCTATAGCGATGATGAAATTTTTAATGCTGACGAGATGGGGTTATTTTTTAGACTGACACCTAATCACACGTTAAAGTTTAAAGGAGAGAAATGTTCCGGTGGTAAACTCTCAAAAGAGCGAGTTACAGTTCTTGTTGCAGCCAACATGTCCGGTTCCATAAAAAGGAAGCTTTTGGTGATAGGAAAAAGTAAAATGCCGGGCTGTTATAAAAACGTGAAAAATCTCCCTGTTGATTACGATTTCAATAAAAAAGCCTGGATGATGTCGGCTATTTTTGAAAAGACTTTAATACAATGGGACAGTGAACTTTTACAACAAAAGAAACACATAATTTTAATTGTCGACATCTGTCCATCCCACCCTCCAGTTGATAGGTTAAAACAAACTAAACTCGTTTTTCTGCCTCCAAATTGTACGTCCGTACTGCAGCCCAGGGATCAAGGAGTTATAAGAAGTCTTAAAGCATTCTTTCGGAAAGAATTTGTGTACAAAATCATCGAAAAGAGAGAGAATAACGACGATACGAAAGTCAGTATTTTTGACGCTATACTAATGATATCAAAGTCATGGGAATCTGTGCGGAAGGAAACGATCATCAACTGTTTTCGTTTTTTCGGCCTAACTAACGACTTACAACCATCAGGATTCGCATACAACGATGTTGCACAAACGCATTTGCAGGATGCAATTTCCCTTTTCAGTTTTGACTGCTCTGCAGATGACTATGTACGAGTGGATGACGAAAGAAGTACGAGCGAAGAACTGTCAGATATTGACATCGTACTGTGTCACCAAACTAGTGACAAACAAAGTACTGATGAGGCTGATGAAGAATTGGAAGATTTCGGCAAAATCTCTATTGTTGCTGAAGCGTATGCTGCTTGTTCCACCATACGAGCATTTATTCAGACTGCTGAAACTTCCCAGAGTGTGAAAGAATCATTATCGCTTGTTTCCACATCAGTTGAAAAAATGTTTTTTTCAGAAGTTCAAGGAAGGCGACAAACAAAAATTACAGACTTTTTTCATTAAATATTCAGGTAAAATGTTGTATTTACATATTTTGTAATACATAAATGTATGTATTTTCTTTGTCTTTTTAAAATAAATAGTATATGTATGCCTACATTTATATGATGAGTATACTTTATTGACTACTTATACTTATTTCAATACATATTATACATATATGTATGTACATATTTAGAACATATTATAAGTATAGATAAAGTAACACTTTTTGCGTCATAAACTTAGGTACAACGAACTAACTGTCCCTACTATAGTGTATTTTTATGTATGGGAGAGTAATAAAACAATAAATTATGTATGCAAATCCCTAAACTGTTAATACGGGTGACTCAATGAAAAACAGATATTTGTCAACAAGTTTACAGAAGTATATAGGACAACAATTTTAAATTGAGTATGACCACCAGGTATAAAGGTTGGAGCAGAATAGAATACAATAGTTGTGAGGGTTACTAATCCCTAAATAAGGTTGCCAGTGTCGGAGTGATGGAGGTTAACAAGTACTCATGAATTTGCAAGAAATGTAAGATGTTTATTTTATTGGTTATATATAACCAATAAAAGTTTAATAAGTACCTACCTATTTGCAAAATAAAGTTTAATTCTTTAGATAAAATAAAACGTTTTATTTTATCTAAAATGAGTGCATTCCACGAAGTAAGGGTTTCAACAATCAAACATTTAATTCTTTAATTCCAGGAATCTACGACAGTAATTGACTAGATAATTACCTTCTAAACTTATTCCACAGAAAATGTGATAGTGGGTTTTTCCATTTTGTAGGAAGGTCCAAGTGGCGTATTCAAAATTCTTAACAGTTCACTAAAAGTAGGTACTTCAGTTGCAAGGTGCAGTTTATTGTGTATACTAGTGTTATGGAAAATTTGGAAGTGCCGTGTAAACGCCGTAGTCCTTTAACAGTTATTGAAAAAACATTAATATTTAATTGTTTTAAATCATTTACAGACAAACGTTTATGTGAAAGTGTTGATGAGACCGTTGAGTTAGTTAGCAGTACACTTGGTGTTGGGAAATCTACGATTTACAGAGTTATTAAAGAAGAGAAATGTGGTAGTTTTCAAATGCCACGTAATGCTCCAGGGAAACCAAAATTTCAAATAGAATATCATTTTAAAGAAGGACTTCGACGGAAAGTGCATGAATTCTTCTTTAGACAAGAATTTCCAACATTGGATAAAGTTCTTGTCTCAGTTCGAGATGATAAGGATTACCCAGAAATGAGTCGAAGTACGTTATGGAAACTTTTAAAAGAAATAGGCTTCCGCTAGAAAAAGAATCCCAGAAAGTCTATTTTATTAGAAAGAAGCGATATTGTCATATGGAGAAGACATTTTCTAAGAACCGTAAAGGAAATGAGAAACCAAAAAAGAAAAATATTTTATCTTGATGAAACATGGATCAACGAGGGTCATACACCAAATAAATTTTGGCAGGATGAAACTGTTACAAGTCAAAGGCACGCTTTTGTAAATAACTTATCTACTGGTTTAAACCCACCATCAGGAAAGGGACGCAGGCTGATAATAGTACACATTGGCAGTTCAGACGGTTTTGTTGAAGGTGGTTTATTAACTTTTGAATCAACTCGTACCGGTGACTACCATGAAGACATGAACGCTGATGTCTTTCAAGAATGGTTCGAACAAATGATAGATCTTCTTCCTAAGAACTGTGTAATAGTAATGGATAATGCAAGTTATCACTTCAGACTTATATAAGGACTGCCCACAACCAAGTGGTTAAAAAAAGACTTGCAGAATTGGCTGAGTTCAAAAAATATTACGTACCATCCCGGATCTATAAGAAAGGAACTTTATTCGTTGTGTGCCCTCCATAAAGAAAAATTTAAAAAATACGAAATTGATGAAATTGCCAAAAATCGTGGAATGACAGTACTTAGATCCCCACCATATCATTGTGAATTAAACCCGATTGAACTAGTATGGGCACAGATAAAGAGTGAAGTTTCAAGAAAAAATACCACTTTTAAAATTCATGATGTTAACAGTTGTTTTTGGAGGCCGTAAATAATGTAAAACCTGAAAACTGGGAAAAGGCAGTCAATCACACTATTAAAGAAGAGGAAAAAATGTGGAAGCTGGACAATATTACTGATAAAATGATCGAGCCAGTTATTATAAATCTTGGTTCTGAAAGTTCATCTTCTGAATCTGATTTGGATTTGTAACAAGTAGCTGTAAGTTTTATATTAATATTTTTATTCATCTATTTAACATACCTTAGACGGTTTTAAAAACTCTTTTTCTCTTTTGTAATTTTTAAAAATTAAAAAAAAATGTGAATTTTTTAAAACCCTTTTTAATGTAGGCCAGTCAGTTCTAGTATAGTGTGTGATAAAAGAGGTCACTTTTGTTTACATACACATAACACTTTATAACACTGAAATAATTCATTTATTTTTTACAATTATTCAAAGTAATTTTTCAATTAATCTTGAGCACGCCCATGGAGTGGTCGGAGGTACCAGTTAAAATTATGCTAATTACTCTCTCGTTCATAAAAATAAACTATAGTGTAATATCGTTTAGAGCAACCTGTTCATTATAACCGATAGATCCGCTTACAGAGAACACTGGCTACAACGTACAAAAAGCACCAGTCCCCTGAAGTTCGTTATAAACGATTTTGACTGTATAAGCCTTGATTGCTTCTGTTGTGGTGGAAAAGCTTGTTTTTTTGGTGCAATTCTTGCCTTTAGTTCTTTGCTAGCATGTGGAGTCATTTTTTGAGGTTGAACAGAATAAAGTCATGTAACAAATTTTAAGATTTGGCAGTGACAGTATGTAAATAATAAGTATTTCTCCTTTCAAATACACTGCTCAATTTTCTGCAAAATACGCTTTAAGTATCGTATCACTTTTTTTAGGAACCAGCTGTACATGTTACAATTATATCACAAAACGTGATATTGGACACTTATATACCATTCGTGACTTATTATTATTAAATTTTTTCGTTAGTTATGGTAATTAAGAGTTCGCAGTTAATCATTTAAATACTTTATTCTACAGTAAGAATTAAAACTAAACAAATATAGTACATTGTTTACCGGGTAGGAAAAGCCTAACATTCCTGGACGACTGTGAAGATTGCTAAGTCGAGGCGCAAGCCGATACTTAGCAACACAGAGTCCAGGAATGTGGCTTTTCCTACGAGGTAAACATACTATTTTTCCGCAAATCGTTTAAAATTCGACAGATATTGATTGATTTAAAAAAAAAAGCGATAATTTTATTCCCAAATAAATGGTACTTTGAAATTCCTAATAAAATTACTTGGGTTACTATGGAAACGTATTGAGGTTGAATTGTCAAACTTGACGCTTATAAATTTAATTGCTGGTGTTCTCGAAAGTAAAATGATAAGTGATGATGAAATTTCCATTCCTGGGACTCCTCCAGAGCTGGTTGAGGCAGTGAATACTGCTTCATTAGAATTATTGCCAAAGAAATCAAGAGAAAAGTACGAAAATGCATACAGACGTTTTATGGATTATCGCATGAGTAAAAATACGAGTTCTTTCTCAGAAAATGTTGTAATGGCATACTTCCTAGACCTTTGTTTAAAGATGAAATCTTCAACATTATGGGCCAATTATTCAATGCTGAAGTCAACCCTTGCACCTAAACACAATGTAGATATATCTACATACTCAAAACTTCGTTCTTTATTGAAACGGCAAGCTCAAGGTTATAGGGCAAAGAAATCTAAGATTTTAACGAAGGAAGAAATTGAAAAATTTATCCAGGAAGGTCCAGATAAAGAAAATTTAATGATTAAGGTAATTTACAAGGTTTTAATTTCTATTTAGATTATAGCTTTATTTATTTTTTAGGTGGCTGTAATATTTGGTATTTCTGGGGCCTGTAGAATGGATGAGTTAGTCCGAATGACTGTACACGATATAGAAGCCTTAGAATCTAAGCTTTTAATCAGCATACCTGATTCGAAAACCAACAAACCAAGATCATTTGTAATTAATCAGATCTACTTGAATGTTTATCGAAAGTATGTTTCGTTAAGACCAGAAAATATGAACAGTGACCGATTTTTCTTTAAATATCAAAGCGGAAAGGGTTGTAGACAAGTGGTAGGAATTCATCAATTTAGAAAAATGCCCAAAATAATTGCTACTTATTTGAACTTGGTAAATCCGACAGAATATACTGGTCACTGCTTTCGTCGGTCTTCTGCAACAATATTGGTTGACTCTGATGCCGACATAACTAGTTTAAAGAGGCATGGCGGATGGAAGTCATCAAACCTTGCTGAAGGATATATCGAAATATCGCTTAACAATAAGGTTGAGGTGGCAAATAAAATTTTCACAGTACAAAATATTCAACAAAATGACACTTCCACCCTGCATGTTGTCCAAAATGTTTCTCATAGTTCTAAGAGTGTTCCTCCAGTGTTCAATAATTGTACTAACTGTCAAATTACTGTAAATATAACAAATTGATCTTAAAAATGTATTCAGCAATGACTTGATGTTTTCAAAATATAAATTAATTCCTTATAAGCAATGTGTTTTCTATCATTTATGTAGAACACTAACAACTGTACGGAAATATCATTTCCTTACAGTAAGGAAATGGCATTTCCTTACAGTAAGGAAGTCCTGACTTTTTCTTCAAGAAATTTTGACAGGAATGTCAAAATTTCCTGGCGATTTGCGGAAATAGTACATTGTTTATCGGGTAGGAAAAGCTTAACATTCCTGGACGACTGTGAAGATTGCTAAGTCGAGGCGCAAGCGGAGACTTAGCAACACAGAGTTCAGGAATGTGGCTTTTCCTACGAGGTAAACATACTATTTTTCCGCAAATCGTTTAAAATTCGACAGATATTGATTGATTTAAAAAAAACGCGATAATTTTATTCCCAAATAAATGGTGCTTTGAAATTCCTAATAAAATTACTTGGGTTACTATGGAAACGTATTGAGGTTGAATTGTCAAACTTTACGCTTATGTATGTAGAACACTAACAACTGTACGGAAATATAATTTACTTACAGTAAGGAAATAACATTTCCTTACAGTAAGGAAGTCCTGACTTTTTCTTCAAGAAATTTTGACAGGAATGTCAAAATTTCCTGGCGATTTGCGGAAAAACATATTAAATAAGATTCAAAATGTCAGTTGACTACCGTAGTCACTTTATTACATTGTGAACAAGTGTTGCCAAGTACAAAATTTCAACAATTACAATATTTTATCTAAAAAGCAACTATTTTGAGATATTTCATTTAAATTAACTCTTTTTTTTTTGTAGTACCAAGGTGACGATCAGAAAGATACAGACATCCCAACGTACATAGAGGCCAAACTATTTTGTACGACGTTTGGGAAATTTATTTGGGTGATACTGCAACCGTTTTTCTACTCATTTCGTCCGCTCGTAGTTTATCCGAAGCCGCCCACGTTTTTAGAATTCGTAAACCTCGTAATTCAACTCGCCTTCGATGCTCTTGTCGTTTATTTTTTGGGTAAGATAAAAATGTAATAAATGTTTTATACATTTTTTAATTAATGTTTGTTTGTACAATAAGATTACAACATTTTGATAATTGAATATTAACTATACAGGGTGCGGCAGATCTATCAAAAACATAAGTTTTTTATTAAACAGTTGTTTTAATTAATAAACCAAGGTAAATTTCATTTTTCTTTTATATTTAGGAGGAAGAATGTTGGGATACCTCCTGCTGGGCTCCGTCATGGCTATGGGCCTCCATCCGGTAGCGGGACACTTCATCAGTGAACATTACATGTTCAAAAAGGGCTATGAAACGTACAGTTACTATGGTCCCTTGAACTGGATAACATTTAACGTGGGATACCATAACGAACACCACGATTTTCCTGCCGTTCCTGGTTCAAGATTACCAGAGGTGAGTCATATTATTAACGATTATTTTGCCTACCACCTAGGGTATTACTATAAGGGGGTGAAAAATGGGGACAGAAATTACTGAGGTGGAGATAGGGCAAACAAAACAAATCGAAACGTTTGCGAACGGCTACTCAGGGTTTATTTGGAGAGCTGGGTCATGGATAAGTGAATGACAAGATGGGATTGGATTGGGGCAACTACAAAAACGAAACAAAGGGGTACTTACATGAGTCTTCTGGACAAATAAAACACAAGAAGGTTGTCAAGCTATTTAAAATGGAAGTCGCTTAGAAGAATCTTCTTGCTGGATGGAAGAAAAGGCTCTTCCTTCCTAAAAACACAAAGAAGGGGTTAGAAACTTTTTTAAAGGAAATAAACAAAATGGTTTAGAAAAAAAAAATAGTTATTGTTATCTCACCACAAACAGTTACAAATATAAATAATAACAATACAATACAAAATATCAAGAACAAACTTACTATGTTTTATCAGTTTAAAAACTCTTGAAATTGGAGATACTACAAGAACTTACAATTGTTACTAGGCGATAATTTGTAGCAGAAATAAATTATTACAAATGAAAAAATATCTTTTTAAGTGAAACTATGCATAGAGGTTAACCTTTTTTAAAAAACAAAAACAACCTAATGTCAAAAAATAAAACTAGCTGTCAGGTGTCAATATTCAATTCTAAACTTTGGGAATAATTAATATGACAGCTTAGCCACACCCTAAAATTTATAATTTTAATTATTACAATTTCTTAACCTGTATGAAAGCGATTATTACTGAAAAAATGTCTATTCTTACTTTAAAAGTTAAAACAAAAAACGTTACTTGGGTTCCACGAAATGTTATTTTTATTTTAAAATTCTGGGGTTGGAACTGTACTTAACTGGAGATTTACTGCTACGCTAAAAACTGCATCTCACACTGCGAATTAGCCTAGAATGACTTTAGACAGACAAAATCAGAATGGAAGCTGTTCACTGCGATGGAAATTTTGAAACTCGGCTTCTTAAAATTAAAAAACTGGAACACATGTGGTTTTCCTTCAAAGTTGTTGTAAACGCCGTTTTACAAATATCTCAGATGAGAGACGGCATAGAAATAAAAACAGTGATTACTCTTTCAGAACTGACACATTACATTGAGTAGAATTCATTTTTTTTAATTCGCCGGCTTCTTCAAACTACTTGAATGAATTCTCCAAACCTGACTTTGACCGTCCATGTACGTTCGTGTACCCCGCTTCTCTCTCCCGTCTTACCCCTCGTACCGGTCTTCGTAGCGGGCCAATCAAAATTCATTTCAAAGACGCGCTGCAAGGGAGATTCAACGTTAATATGGCTTGGATTGAAATTCGAAGAATTTTTAAAACGCAAAATATGAATTATTTTACTTCGCAGTGGTAACTGGAATTTGAAATGTAAACAAAGACACGACATTTTTTACATAGCCCAGGGGCGTACCAGATAAATTTTGTACTTTGAATATTCGATGGTTCAAGGAATTTATGCATGCTACAATGTGGGTAACATTAGTTTAGTTAAAAATATATCATTAACAATAAACTGTTATAACGTAAATGAAAATAAAGTGAAAAAATGACTTCCTTTTAAATAGCTGTAAGTGGAAAAAGCTGCATTCATCGAGGTTTTTCTTATTTATTTTTCAATATAGTCTTCGTTTGCCAAAATGACGTCTCAAATAATTAGATACATTCTGAAGGACAGGCGTGGCAGTTTTGGATTCGAATTATCCATATTATCCAAGTCGATAAAAGCCAAATTTTTCGCCACATTGCCTCTGATGATTAATTATAAATGCTTATCAAACATTGTAGTATTTAAAAAGTTAAACAATGTAAAAACATTAATTATTTTAATCAAAGTAATAAAAACTTGCCTATAAAAAATTATATAACAAATTAAAATTATGAAACTATTCACAACAATTCAAAGAGATGTTGTTATTCAATTTGAGATATGTGAAACGTAAAATATTCTTTAATTTATACCATCTATTGTAACTTTTCGTTTTTCTACTAATAATGGCCCTTAAAATTTTCAAGGTGCTATACAAACACTATCTCATAGACTATTCTTTTCTTTATATATACTTCGTCTATAACTACGCTTTACTTCAAGTTCCCATATCATTAATTTTGTCTGTGTTTGTGTTTAGACTAAATTAAAAAGTATGAGTACTTCTGCCCTCTGGTATGTAACCGATTTAATATTATAAACACAGATGCGTTTTCTTTCTGGTAGTTGTTTATATTAACTTAACTTCAATTTATCTGGCTAAAAAGTATATATTATAATACTTAGATTCGCAGATTTGACGCATGTTAGTTTAATAACTAATTAGTAGCTAACCGCAAAACCAAACAGTGGTTGGGATTACATTGAAGCACACTTAAATGTATTGAAAAATGCAGAAAATGCCGATATAATTGGATTAGAATAATATAGACATATGCCTTATTCTCACTGAAAATTGTATAATTTTATGGACAAAGAAAAAGAAAAATAAATCGCCAATATCACAAAATAAAAGATAATAAAATATACAATCTATTGCAAAATTTAAACAAATTCATAAGAAAACCTTACGAATTAAGTTTAAGTTGCTGCATGTGATACCCAAACATATACAAGGTGGTCCAGAATTATGTACATTAATTTCTAGAGCTCATAGTACGTCCATAAATATGGGTACTTCTTTATGTACACTTTTTTTATAAAACTGAATAATAAGGGAGATACAACCCTTTAAAGGGGTGAATTGAAATTCTTATTTTTTCAAATATTTTCCAAACGGTTTTGAATACGGAGTTTATATTTTGGGAGTGATTATAAGACATTAGGATAATTAATTTCATGTCACCACCTGCCACATCCTATATACATGTATTTTATTGTAATCGTTACATTTAGAGTGTCTTTACATGCCGCTACAAATTGGATGAAGTTAGGCATGCGTTAAATTCGTCCGCAGCAGTTAATTAGAGAATAATTATTAAATAAGGAACAGTCTGAAAATAGAATCATGGCTCCACCAAAAATGTTTTTGATTTTCACGAATATCTATCAAAGTTCTGTCCAGTCTTTGTAATGACCTCTTACGGGTCAATGTACATTCATCCCAAACCAGTAATTTGCACACTTGGGAGCGTACCTTGTATTTACGGGAGGCCTATGTCCAGTAGTGTACTCAAAACGGCTGATGATGATGATTATTTGAGTTAAAGATGTTAACTGATTTAAATAAAACAATATACCATATACCAATTGTATTTCGTTTAACATACAGTGTGTAAAAGCCAAATGGAATAAATTGATTATTTAGGTTAATGTACATATTTATAAAAAATCCCGAAACACGTCAAATTTAAATTATAACTTGACATTCTTTAACGTGAAAATGCAACCCCTACCTTCAACTCCCTTAATGACAGGTACAACCCCCAATTTTTAAAATAGGACGTATAAGCTTGTGATATATCGTTTGAAAGGTCTTTTCATGTTGTCGCTTTCAAGTTTATTAAGATTAATTAAGATAAAATAAATTAAATTCATGTGGTTACCGAAATTCGCTACAATACAATCAAAAACTAAAATGTAATGCAAAACGTAATAAAAGGTAATAAAATGTAGAACACGAAAAAGAACTATGAATGTTAATGAAGTAGATGTTCAAAATGTTCACCGCGAACGTCTTGGTAACATCCTAATCTTAAATAAAACTGCCTTCTAACATTATTTAACATAACAGTCGCGATCGACCTAATCGCAAGCGTTCTTCGTTCTTTTAAGTCATTTAAATCAGAAGGTTTAGTTTTGTACACATGGCTCTTCACATATCCCCATAAAAAGAAATCTAATACTGTAAAATCAGGTGATCGCGCTGGTCATTCAATCGATCCTCGCCTCCCTATCCACCGATTGGGAAATATTGTATCGAGGTACTGCCGGACATTAAGTTGGTAATGTGGTGGTGCTCCATCCTGCTGAAACCATATCGTATTCGCTGGAACTTAAGGGTTTCCTGGATCAGGATATAAATTTGCCAACGTTGGAATGACATCATTTTGAAATAGTGCCAAATAATTGTTGCAATTCAAGTTGCCCTCAATGAAAAAGAGACCAATGATATTAACAACATTAACCTTTTGAGGGTATTGAGTATGTTCTTCTCTCATCCAGTGAGGATTTTCCGTGGCCCAGTAGCAGCAATTTTGCCGATTAGCATGACCGTTAAGTGAAAAAGTATACTTATCAGAAAACATAACGTCTTTTAATTGGATAATATTGTTATCCAACATGTCCATCATTTGCTCACAAAAAAAAGTTCTATCAAAATCGTCTTCCATGAGCTTTTAATATGTTTACTATCGATGTATGGCTAGCATTGAATGTAGTGGATGCCTGTTTACTCGATGTATGTGGATTTTCCTGAAACTCAAGCAACACATCTAATTTGAGTTCATCACTCAGTGCATTGGCAGCTTGTAACGATGAGTCCAAGCCGTCACCGTTAAACCAGCGTGCGCGCGAACCAACCCATGAAGTAGGAGTGTATCGACAGTAGAAAGGGCAAAACTTTGCTATATAAACCGCATTATTTCCTCATAGAGGCAGAATCGTCAGGTGTTGACTGAAGGTTCTCTTCTCCCCTACCCCGGCTTGTGGACGTGTTGAGTTCACAAGTTGTTTCCGTTCCATACCGCCGTTATCCGGAGAGCGTGTTGAGCTCTCCACTACCCGTACTCCGAAGCAGTCGTGTTGAGGCTGTCGAGGAGTGTCCTATTAACCCGAATCACTTGAGGGACGTGTTGAGTTTCTTTCTTTCCTTTGTACCTATCGTCCGCTGTTATTAAATCGACACATCGTTCACGTAAAATTCCGAGAACACACTTGATTGCCGATAACACTAATTTCATACGACAAGGTCAAACTTAATTTGAATAAATAGGCCAGGTACTGAGAAGAC